GGATGCCCATCAATTGGGGAATGGCTAAACAAGTTGTGGTATATGAATGTAATGGAATACTATTGTGCTATAAGAAATGATGAGCAGGTAGACTTCAGAAAAACCTGGAAAGACTTGTATGGTCTGATGCTGAGTGAAGTACACAGAACCAGGAGCACATTGTACACAGTAATAGCCACATTGTGCGATGACTAACTTTGATAGACTTAGCTCTTCTCAGCAATACAAGGATCTAAGACATCTCCAAGAGACTCATGATGGAAAATGCTATCCACATCCAGAGAAAGAACTATGGAGTCTGAATGCAGATAGAAGCATACTATTTGCTCTGTTTTTTCTTTCTCGTGATTCCTCCCATTCATTCTAATCATTCTTTATAACATGACTAATGTGAAAATATGTTTAATGAGAATGTATATGTAGAGCCTATATCAGATTGCATGTTATTTTGGAGAGGGGGGCACAGAAAATTTAAAACTCAAAAGCTTATGGAAATGAATGTTGAAAACTAAAAATAAAAAAAAATTTGGGAAGTTACTTGTATAGCAACTCTGATTGTGTTTCATCTATATTCAAATCCAAACCCTTCAAAAAGTATCTTATGGCTATCTGAATGGGTTTCTGGGATGACAAAGGGACTCACTGAACTAATTGTTGGTGGGTATATTTCTCTTCTGAAGGGAACCCAATTTAAAGGGTGGTGCTAGGGCATCTGTTTAAGACTCTGGGATAAAGGTGGGATTCAACGAAGAGGGAAAATAATTGTATCGGGGTATTTGCCCTTTATTCTTTATGTGTGTGTGTGTATGGCAATTGGGGTTAAGTGACTTGCCCAAGGTCACACAGCTAGTAAGTGTGTCAAGTGTCTGAGGCTAGATTTGAACTCAGGTCCTCCTGCCTCCAAGGACGAAGCTCTATCTGCTGTGCCACCTAGCTGCCCCTTTGCCCTTTATTCTGAGTCATCTGTATGTTTCATTTTCTGTGGGGTACAATAAAGGTTGTCCTGTACTTGATGTGTCTGATGTAGGGCTGTGTGAGTAAAGAGAAAGGGATGGGTGGAACCTACATTGTGGAAGTAAAAGAACAAGATTTGACAACTGGTAGGATATGAGAGATGAGGTCAAGAAAAGTGTGGAGAATGACTATAGTGTTGTGAATTTATGTACTTGGAAGGAGGATGGTGTCTTGTTATCTACTTCTGAGCTTTTGGTACAGAAGAGAATTCTCCCATTGTATTTATTGCTTGAGGGACCTGGAGAGGGTGTAACCGCATATACCACCTCACGAAGGGAATCAACGGCCTGAACTCCGAGACATCATGGAATATCAGAGATTGAAAGGCTCTTAAGCACAATCTAATCCAACCACCTCACTTTACAGAGGAGGAAACAGACTCAGAGGGGAGAGTGAAGGACAACTTGTAGCAGAACTGAAATCAGACTCCAGATTTTTTGATTCTTAATCCAGTGATCTTTTTCGATAATGCCATGTCTTCCTGGATTCTGGAGGACTAGCCTTACAGGCTCAGGGGAAAGCATCTCCCATTTCTAACTAAGAGCCATCTCCACTACTTCCAGGACCCACTCTTAACCATCATTTCACCATCCCTGGTTCTTTCACCCCTCAGAGGCAATCTCAAAAGGAATAAGTATCTATAGGTTGGTATTACTTTCCAAAGACATCTCAACTTACGATTCCTGTTATTATTACCAATTAGATAGAATAAATCAAGAAAACAAAAGGCAGTTTTTTTTCCCAAGTGACTTATGTATTGGATTAATTGTTGAGCTTACTATGAACTAATCCAACAATTCTGGATACCAATTTGGAACTTGCAAGAAAAATTACTAAATTTTTGTACCCTTTTGACCCAACAATCCAACTATTGAGCTCCAAAATAGCTTCTAATAATTGCTTTGATTTCTTCTTTCTTGGTTGTAAATTCATCTTTTTCATTTTTGGTACTGGCAATTTGGTTTTCTTCTTTAATTAGTCAACAGCATATCTATTTTTATTGCCCCCCCCAACATACAGCTCATAGTTTTATTAGTTTAATATTTTTAAACTTTAATTCTGTTCATCCCTTCTTTGATTTTCAGATTTTGGTGTTTAATTGGAAGTTTTAAATTTGTTTTTCTTGTTTTTTAGTTGTATGCTCAATTCATTGATCTGCTTTTTCTTCTATTGATGTAAGCATTTAGAGATATAAATTTTTCTTTTAGTATTGTTTTGGATGCATCCAACAAACTGATACATTGTTTAGATTGTTGCCATGATATTTAATGCAATTATTGTTTCTAGGATTGGCTCTCCGACCCAACCATTCTTTAGATTAAGTTCTTTAGTTTCCAATTAGTTTTTAATCTGTGCGTTAAAGGTTCTTCATTGAATATAATTTTTATTGCATTATGGTCAACAAATCCATTTAATATTTCTGCTTTTCTGAATTTGTTAGAGTTTTATGCCCATTATAACATAGGGTGAGTTTTTGTGCAGATACTATGCACAGCTGAGTATCAGACATATTTTCTATTCTTATTCAATATCTTCCTGAAGTCTATCATATCTAATTTTTAAAAAAAATTCTATTCATTTTTTAACTTTATTTTTTATTAGATTTATTTAGATCTGAGAAGGGTAAATTGAGGTCTTTTACTATTATAGTTTTACTATTTCCTTCTCCTGTAACTCATTTAACTTTCCTTTAAGAACTTAGAGGCTGTGCCATTTGGTGCATATATGTTTAGTATTAATAGTAATTCATTGTCTATAGTACCTTTTAGCAAAATATAGCTTCCCTATTTATGTCTTTTAATTAGGTCTATTTTTGCTTCTGTGTTGTTTGAGATCATGATTACCCCTACCTCTTTTACTTTAGCTGAAGTATAATAGATTCTGTTCTAGTCTCTTATTTTAACTGTGTATATCTTTGTTTCAATTGTGTTTATAAATAACACTGTTAAGATTCTTGTTTTTAAAAATCTATTCTGGAAGCCTCTTCCATTTTATGGGCAAGTTCATCCCATTTCCATTCACAGTTATAACTGTTAACTGTATTTGCCTCCATTCTATTCTCTTATACTTATCCTTTTTACTCTGTCGCATCTTTAGGATTCTCTTTTGCTTCTGATTTTTTTTGCTCCTGTTTTGCTTCTAATTAATCAGCCCTTAATCTACCCCCCTCTTATTTCTCTTCACTTCACCGTTTTCCCTCCTATATATTGGGTAAGACGTATTTCTGTACTCAATTGTGTACAGTTCAGATGAGAGTGAGCTTCATATGTTGTGTGCTCCCCTCCATCCCCAAACCTCCCTTTGTTGTGTAAACTCCTTTTTATACACTCCATTTATGTGAGATATTTCCCCCCATTATTCTTCCTTTTCCCCTCTCCCAGTGCATTACTCTTACCAAGTCTTTCCATTCTTCCTTTGAGATCATCCAAACACAATAGAATCCCACCCAGGACCTCTAATTAGATGCCCTCTAAGACCCCTGGTGATGATAAAGTTTGCAGAGGTTACATGTATCATCTCCCCATATAAGAATGCAAACAGTTTAACCTTGCTCATGTTTACCAACAGAAGCACAAAACCTTCTCGACTCCTTTGTAGGTAGAATTTTCTCTTCAGCTCTGGTCTTTTCATCAGGAATGCTTGGAAGTCCTCCATTTCAATAAAGGTCAATGTTTCCCCCTGTGGGATTATACTCAGTTTTTCTGGGTAGGTTATCTTAGCTTGTAAGATTGGATCCTTTGCTTTCTAATATCATATCCCAAGCTCTCTGCTTCTTCATGGTGGTGGCTGCTAAATCTGGTGTGTTCCTGTGGCTCTTCTTAAATTCTTCCTTTTAGGTAGTCTAGTGATTCTTAAATTCTCTCTCCTTTTCCTCTTTCCCAGATCAGTTGTTCTATGACATATTTCCCTCATTTTTCTTCTATTTTTTTAAGACTCTTGATTTTGCCTTTTTATTTCTTGTCTGATGGAATCATTAATTTACATTTGGCCGATTCTAATTTTCAAGGAGTTATTTCCTTTAGTAACATTTTGAACCTCTTTTTCCAAGTTGTTCTCTTTTCATACCTTTGTTCCCTAGCTCTTGCTTTTCTTATTTTTGCTCTATGGCTCATTTGGTTTTTCAAAAGCAGTTAGCTTTTTTTTTTTTCCCCAGTTCTTGATTTAACTCGGTTAGGAATTCTCATTGGATTTGGGAACAAGCTTCACTTTTTTTTGAGGCTTTGTTGACATTTCTAGTCAATCTCTTCTTCTGAATTTGTAGCTTGAGCTTCTCTACCACTTTATGCTGTTCCAGAGCCCTTTTTACCTCTCCCCAACTGCATCCATGTTAAAAAGTTGGCTTGAGGCTGTGTTTCTTGGCACTTTCCCTTAGGCATAGGAATTGCTAGCTACCAGTCTGCTTAGAGCTCTTGTTTTAATGATTCACTTTATGAAGGAGAAAAATCATAGTCAGAAAGAAGTGACTTGTCCAGTTCATTGTGGACCCAAGGCCAAAATCCCGGTCTTCTGATTCTCAGCCTATGTTCTTCTTTGCACTCCACTCTAACAACAAGGAAGTGGCTTCCATGGGATAGGACCAGTTCACTCAGGTGAGAACATGTCACATACTTTGTTCCTTTTAAGGCAGTCATCTATATTGCTAAGTAAACAAACTTCACCTCTACCAGTCATTCCTCCTCAGTGGACCTCAGAGAAGGCACAGTGTCTGCAATCTGGAATTTATTTTCAATGGCCTCAAAACCATGGGGTCACAAACTTATTATCACTAAGTATGATACATGCCATTTCAAACCAAAATTTGCTTCTATCCAGAAATAAAGCTAAGAGAGAACAAATAGGAAGGAAAAAGACAAATGAACTTAAGTTGCTGAGAATTAAAAGATTTTTTTTTGGTGAGGCAATTGGGGTTAAGTGACTTGCCCAGAGTCGCTTAGCTAGTGAGGAGAGATTTTCTTTTTCCAAATCACTTTATTGGATTTTTAAAAACAACCAAAACACTGGTATTCACTTAACTTGAATGTATCACAGAAGAGTCAGGCTGCATTCTCGAGCTAACGAGAATGGGGGAAGAAAGGAGATTGAACACATGGCTATGAAGCTCGAGTGCGGCTGACAGGTCCTGGCCAATTATAGATATCCATTTTGGTTGAGAACATAATTTAGTAGCCGACACCATTCCTTTTGTTGGGAGCCTTAGAGCCAGAGGGAACCTGGGGAACCCTGAGAGTGAAACCTTAGTCAAATCCCCTCTTAATTACTTCTGAGAATCCAGCCAGCCACTACTTATACTGGATTTTTTAAAGTTAAAAATTGATATTTATTAATCATGCCATGCTTTCACAATTTACAAGTACTTAGAGAACATGGGAAACACATAATTCTTACCATCAAAGAATTTTAAATGCAATGAAATAAAAATTTTCCTTAGAGGGAGGTGAACATCAAAGGCTGAGTTTTGGTCATGGAAATTGCAGAGTTTCTTCTCTTCAGTTGGTCCTCCACCAGATCTTACAAAAAGGTAGAAAGTTGCCAGCTAGGGGAAAGTCACAGCCTGCTTACTAGGACTGCCATCTGATACTTGGGCCAAGGAATAAAAGTATCTCTACTTGGTCAAAGCAAGCAGAGAGAAATGATGGCAGGGAACTTACTCCTGTTCCCAGAAAAAGAATGTTTTATAGTTCTGCTTAAGAGAAGAGGAAACTTTATCCCCCCCAGGTGAGACTGTGAAGACATCAAGCTTGATCCGTCTGGGATTTAAGATCTAGCCATCATAAGGCACAGTTCCTGGGAGGAACAGAATCTCTTTCTCCTACTCAGTGGAGCTATCAAAAATATCTCCTGTGTGAAATATTAAATACAATTAAGAACCTTTTACACATACATAATGAGTGTGGATATACACTGGTCTTAGTTACTATTTCTGTGGATGGAGTAATTAGAGGTGGCCCAGAGGAGGTTAGAGAATTGAGGTTATCACCAAGAAGCAAAAGACAATTTGGTTTGATGCTCTCTTAAGAAACCATTGATAGCTTCTAAGCTCTTGGGGAATTCCTTTGGGGCTACTGCAACCCTGTGTCACATGGTCAGAAGAAACTCTGCTACATTTAGACACTAACATCAGGGCCCTGGAATTGCAAAAGGGAGGCTGAAACATGGAATCTTTGGTCATTATTTGGATTTTCAAAGTGGGTGATATCGGATGCTTCTTAGTAGAGAGAGGCAATCAGTGAGTTTGAAGTGTACTAAAGACCACTTTGACTTTAGGGTCATATCCATACTCCTTATTGTAGGGGGTAGGGAAATGTCAGATCTGAGGACTGGGGGAAGCTTGCTTTGAGTAAAGAATTTGCACAGTCCCTGATCCTTACAGGGGCCTTAGCGCTGGAGGAAGGCCTGGGCTCTGAGCAGTCCCTCTCTCAGGAATTCTTCATAGATCTCTGGAGATTTGAAGGACATAGGCGAATATATAGCTAAGACTTTTTCATTTTCCTGATGTTCTGGGGGAGTCTTGAACAAGAAGTCATTAGCGTGGATGTTGTTGACCTAGGGGAAGGGAAGGGGAAAGGGAGGGAAGAAAAGAGGAAGGAAGAAGGCAGGGAGGAAGGATGGAAAGGAGGGGAGAGAGAGTTAGGTATAGTGACTCTGGCAGCACTACAGGGCTTACTTTCTCAGCTGCTCTGAGGAGGTAGACTAATTCAATTCCATGTTTTGAGTGTCCCTGACCAATGGGATGGGAAAGAATTGAGAGTCTTGGCCAGAGTTCAATGAAAAGTGTCCTTTCTTCTAGTTTTTCCTCATTCAATAATAATGTATACACTGCCAGAGTAATTTCCCTAAAACATATGTGTCATCAGGTTATCCCCCTGCTCAAACACCTCCAATGGCAGCACTATATATCTGACTTCCTTTTCTCACGTAATTCAGAGTGAAAAGCACTCTGAATTCACTCCGGGTTTTCTCTAACACATACTAATTAGCTTTGTTATTGTGGATAATTCACTTCGTCTCTCTTGAGTATCTGATCCCTAAGGCACTTTGCAAACTTTAAAGGAGTTATAAAATGGACCCATCACTATGATCCCGCCCAACTTGTCCACTGTATCTCACACTGTTAACAATCCATCCATACCAGCCCCATCTTCATGGTCCCATGCAGAGGTCATAGTCATTCCCACGTTGGCTCATCAACCCTCAACTTCTTCGTCTATGAAAACCCTGACCATCCTTGTGTCTCACTGCATGCACAAGGCTAGCATTCTTTTATATACAACAGGTACTAGAGCAAATTCTCCTTGGGGCATAGAATGGTCACAACTGAGTCAGCAGGGTATGGGGGGGGAAGGCACAAACCACTGTCCCATTGGGTAGGCAGACCAGTGATTCCACAGGGAACCTGTATTTCTCCAATTGCAGCTTAGCCAGCTTCTTATAGAATTCATTCTCTTCATTCTGAAAGGAAGTCACAGTTGGAGAGGGGCCTGTTATCCCAGTTCTTGGATTTAAGGCACCTCCAGAATATTCTCCCAGAATCTCAGCTCCCTCCCATTCTCTTTACCAGTAGCTCTTCTAGGTCCCCCAAAAGGGACCAAGTGCTGATGAATTTCTCATTGAGGAGGGTGAGGATTGATGAATTTTTCAGGACAATCTCTCGAAGAGTGCGTCCTGAACCTGTTCAGGGGAAAGTAGGATGTTATTTAGGGGAAATGACTTGAAATAATAGTGGTCTGTTATATGAGAGGACAGTTATAATGTCTCCCTTTTGGGACCCAGCATAGAAATCCCTTATTTGCCCTGCTTCTCATTGTGACCACTGAATTCCCCATATCTCTATCCAGGGAGTCTGGTATGAGACCTTCCCTCACCCCTATGTGGTTTTTAATTGTCCCCTCTTTGAGTCTCTTTTGCTTCTAACTCCTACCTCCCGTAATCTCTTCTCCCTCCTATTCTTCCCCCCTCCCTTTTTTAATCCCTTTCCCTCCTACTTTACTGTAGGTTAAGAAGAATTTCTTAATTCTCAGCTGCTCTGAGGAGACGGACTGATTCAATTTCATGCTTTTAAGGGTCCCTGACCAATGGGATGGGACTCTACCATGAACTGGCCAGATTCCTCACCTCAGCAAGACTGGTCATCCAGGGCTCCCCATAGAATGACTGAGTGTACCAGCTTATTTTCAGCTCTAGCTCTGTCAAAAGCTTTGGTGAAAGGTAAGTACTGGACCTAGGGGACAGCCAACATAGAGAGGAAGGCTGAGGTCCCCTTGGATGCAGGGGTGGGGGTGGTGGCACTTGACTCTATAGAGGTTGGAAGCAGGGAGGGCAGGATGAGGCAAAAACCACACTTCACATCACAAGGACTCTGCATGTTTAGCTAGGTCTCTACTCCCTTCCCTGGGGAAGCTGCCAACTACCCCCACAGAGCTCTGAAAGGGAGAAGCAATATGAACTTCTCAGCCTGTTATTTAAGGCCTTCCACAATCTAGTTCCAATCTCTCATTCTATCTTTAAATCATATTACATCCCTTTATCCTTTTTATTGAAATATATTTCATATATATTATGAAATAAACCTTTTATTTCAGACAAACTGCATGTCCATTAATCACATTGTTATTGCCTGAACTCAGTATTCTATCTTCTGCCTCTGTCCACTTGGATAAGCTAGCCTTCAAGCCAAAGGGCACTGTTCCATCATCTCCATCTCTGGAAATCCTTGTGGCTCACCTCGAGTGTTATCTCCTCTGTGGTATCTTCTCCAGACCCTCCAGTGGTCAATGTCCTCTCCCTTCTTAGAATATCTCTATTTACTTATCTGTGATCATGTTGTTTCTCCCAGTGGAATGTTAGTTTCTTGAGGGCAGGGACTGCTTCATTTTTGTCTTTTGATCTTCAGTACCTAACACAATGCCTTCCACATAGTAGGCACTCAAAAAATATTTGTTGAATTGGATTGAACCATAAGGACCGCAACTTCCTATACTGAACCTATTCCCATAACAATGTTCCCTCCTCTTTCCAAGAGCTCCTTTCTTCTAGCCTGGGAGCACCAAAAGCTGGAAAGGGCAGCCTTGCAAGCTATAGCTAATTACCCTCTTTAAAACCCCTCACCTTCTTGAAGGCATACATAGCCCTCTCCAGCTGCTGGGCAGCTTCCTCCCTTCTCAGCTCCTGCTGCCACACAATGTCCTCCATTTCAAACTGGACAGCCTCCTCTGAGGGCAGACAGCTGTCAATCTCGTTGCTTTCCTCATCCTGGATCACAGATGGCACTGAAGGGCCAGAGGCCTCCAGCTCCATCTGGGAAAAAAAGGGCAGTAAAAGCTTAACCTTCCCAAGGAACACAACACTTGTGAAAAGTCCACAAATGATTTATCCACTAGGGTATTAGCAGCATATCAGAGGATAGGGGAGAGATTGATTATAAACTATTCTTGCTTATCTTTGGAGTTTGTGAGAGAAGAAAATCTTGTGTTATACTCCTGGGAATGGAGCAGTGTGAATAAAGAGTGGCTAAGAACGACAAACACAATAGTAATACTAATTATTTTTCAACAGTTTCGTTTCAGATGATGTCTAATTAGAAGCCTGGGTGTGATTCTATTATGTTTGGGTGATCTCAAAAGAAGAATGGAAGGATGGTGAAGAGGAATACATTGAGGGAAGGGGAAGGGAGAAGAATAATGGGTAAGATTATCTCCTATAAATGGGGCACATAAGAAAGAGTTTATACAATGGAGGGAGCAGTGAGTGTGGGTTGGGTGGAACATTCAACACTTGAACCTCACTTTTTAATTTTTTTAATTAATAAATTTATTTCTTTTTAGTTTTCAACATCTACTCCCACAAGATTTTGAGTTCCAAATTTTCACCCCATCTCACCCCTCCGCCCACCCAAGATGGCATGCATTCTGAATGCCCCTTCCCCTAATCTGCCTTCCCTTCTATTTCTTCCCCCCTTCTCTTATCCCCTTCCCCTTCTATTTTCCTGTAGGGCAGGATAGATTTCTGTAACCCATTTCCTGTATTTCTTATTTCCCAGTTGCATGTGAAAATAGTTTTTTTTTTTTAAACATGCTGAACCTCACTCTTATCTGGACTAGTTCAAGTAGGGAAGAATAGAAATTGGGTTTAGAAATTCTTCTCAATCTATAGTGAAGTAGGAGGGAAAGGCATTAAAAAAAGCAGAGGGAGGAATAGGAAGGAGAAGAGATTAAGGGAGGTAGGAGTTAGAAGCAAAAGAGACTCAAAGAGAGGACAATTAAAAAAAGAAGGCTGAGTGTAAGAGAATGGAATGGAGACAGTCATTACTATGAATGTGAAGGGGATGAACTTAATCCTAAATGAAGAGGATAGCAGAATGGATCTAAAAACCAGAATCTGACAATCTTGTTTACAAGAAACAATTGAAACAGAAAGATAAGCATAGAGTTAAACATAAGGGGTAGAGAGGCTTTGGAGGCAGCATGGCATAGAGTGGAAAGGGCACCCTCCTTGGAGTCCAAAGGTTTGAGTTGGGTTTGTGTCCTAGCTCTGTGGCCCAAGAGTTCTTTGACCTCTGACAACTCCCTTGACCTCTCTCTGAGCTTTAGTTCCTCCATTGCTCAAATGTCAGGTTTGGACTAGGTGATCCTAATAAGTCCTTTTTTAGGTCAGATACTATGATTCTGCAGTTCTCAGAGAGTGGATGAACCACCATCGCCACAGCACTGATTTGCCAGTGGGACCAGGCTTCTTCTTAATATGGAACAATGGGAAGAGAAGTCTTCCTCAGAGCTCCTGGGTTGGAACCCTGACTCCCATTCCTCTTACCCATGTGCCTATGGAAAAATCACTCAACCTTTGTCAGTCTAAGTTTCCTCTTCTCTACGTGGAGATATCAACATTTGAATTACCCACCTCACAGGGTTGTAGTGGGGAAAGCACTTTGCAAACCTCAGTGTTATAGAAATGGGTCTATTATCATTATTATTAATGATTATTAGTGACATATAGGACTTCCTAGTAAATATTCAGCTGCCTTCACAAGGGGTAAGCTTATGGAATCCTCTCCTTGGGCTTTGTCATCACTTTACATCCATAAAGGAAAGATGGCAGGGGAATAGCCTTACCCTCCTGTGTTGGTCATAATAGGCCTGGGGTAGCATAACCAGAGGAACCCTCCTAGGAGTTAGGATGGGAATATAATGGTAGGAGACCAGTGGGAAAACTATAGTTAGGCCTAGTTCCAACTGAAAGCTCTAAGGACATAGACGTACCTGAGGGAGATAACCAAGGTCCACATTTGGATTCCTAAGGGGCCCATACAACCACTGCATACCCACGTTCACAGACCTGATGGGAGAGGCAGTATGTTAGGAAAGGGTTGTATACTTAGCATAGGGCAGTGATAGGCCTGCTTCACTCATTCAGTGGGGTCAGAGCTGTAATTAGGAATATTTTCATTTGGTACAAAAATAGTTGAGGAGTGAGGGAGGCAGGGCAGGGTGAGCGGTTTTGGCTTTGAGGACAATCTGGCCTAGTTGGGAGAAAGGATGACATTTCCCTGGCCCCACCAAGTAGTTGTGCGCGAGGCACAACTTCCCACTCTTCCATGCTAATTCCATATGAACTTCTTCCTTACAATTCTGAATGGGAAAAGAGTTGAAGGTAACAGCTCTGGAAATACTATTAGCTGGGGAATAGCTATGGGGGTTAAGGAAGCACTAAGAATGGAGACATTTAAAAGTGTGAGAAGGGAATTTCAGAGAGCAGAGGGAAGGCCACAGTATGAGCATGTGTAAAGAAAGGAATGCTCCTTCAATAGGAAGGAAGAGGGAGATTCAAAGGCCATACTAAAATAAAACCAGGGGCTGAGCTATGTCTCCTTGTTATCCTGACGATGAACAGTGAAAAGTGGGTATATATGGCTTTGAGCTAAAATACAGTTTCTTGGCTGTGAGAGGCTTAGTTGCTATCTGTTCTCCTGTCTAGATTTTCTGAAGTTGAGGTCTGAGTGTGGAACCCATTAGAGCTTTTAGATTTGGGATTGGAGCTAGCAGACTAGAGGGCATCTCCCCTGTTCTCAATCAACCTCTGAATACAGAGTAGGAGGAGCATTAGGTCTTCGAACCTTATGGTGTAAGGACAGGTTGGTGTTGCCAAGCAGCCTTCTGCTTTTCTACCCTGGGGTCCCAATGTAATGCAAGTTGGGGCTGTAAACACTGTGGCCTCCCCTCAATCTATTGGCTTCCTCTTTATCCTCCAGGAGACTGGCTCTGGGGACAGGAAAAAGGGAACTGAAAGGGGATATTGAGAACAGTTGCCCTCCAGGTCATAAGCCAGAGCCCAAAACTCCACTAAATGGGGTCCTCTCTTCCATGCCCTCACTACCACAGGATCCTACCTTTCATTGGGTACAAAGAGCTTGAACTCTTGGACATGGCTGCTATCTTGGGAGAGGATGATGTGTCCAGTGAACTGGCTTGGACAGAACCAGAAAGGGTAGTGGAGTGGTTGGTTGAGTTGGAACTCGGCATGGATCCTGTGGCCAGAAGAGAAAGAGAAGGGAGCAAGAAGTGCTTATCTCCAGGTGGGGGGATGGGAGTACTAACACTTGCAAGAATTCTCTGAGCCTCAGTTTCTTTATCTGTAAAATAAATGGATTGAACTTCAACTCCATGACCTCTAAAGATCTGTTCAACTCTAAATCTTTGATTCTGTGACCTTTGGGCTTCAGCAGTCAGGAAGGCTTTAATGAAGCAATAGAATAAAAGGGGATTAGAGAGGCCTGAAGAGCTAGAATGCAGAGAATATAAAAGGAGGGAGAATTCAATGGAGCAAGGAGGAGGAAAGCCACCTTGTGGAAATGGGAAACAAGATGGGGAGGATGAGGTGAAGGGAGAGGAGAGAGGGAGAGGAGAGAGAGAAAGGAGGGGAGAGAGAGAGAGAGAGAGAGAGAGAAGGGCGTTAACTCCACCTGCTGGTAAGATGAAGGCATTGAACACTTCAACTCCAGTCAGCTCATGAGACCAGAGGACCCAGTTCACATTGGAACACACTTGGCCTTTAGGCAGCAGGGGCCAGGCCAGTGAGTGTTGTCACAGATAACTCCCAAACTTCCTCAGGGCCAGTCACTTCCTCACAGTCTCTCAAAAGAGCAACATAGACAGTTCCTAGCTTTCCTGTACTCCCCTCAACCTCCATCAGTTTCAGCCTCTCTGGGGTCACATGAGCAGCAAAAGGAAGACCATTCTTCTCCAAGGTCACCAGTGGTTTGCTTATTGGTAAATCTAATGACTTGACCTTCTTCCTGACTTCTCTAAACCATCTGACACTGTTGCCCACTTCTTCCTCCTAGGTTTTTGTGACACCATTATGTTGGTCTGACCACCTGCTTCTCCTCAGTTTCCTTCGTAAGATCACTGTGCATGTCCACATCCCACCCCTTCGGTGTGAGTGTACCCCAGGCTTCTTTGCTGGCCCCTCTTTTTATTATCTCATCAACTCTCATGATCATCTGTATGCAAATGACTATTGAATCTTTCAAATGAGTTCCAGTTCCTTATAACCATCTTCTTACTAGACATTTCTACCTGGGTGTTCCATGGGCATCTCAAACTTAACATGTCCAAAGCAGAACTTGGTATTATCTTTTCTCCTAAACCCACTTCTCCTCCAAACTCTCCTATTGCTATTGAGGAATCCATCAACCTTGTAGTCATCTAGGTTTGAAACACCTAGCAATCATCCTTGACTCTTCACCGCCCCCGCCCCGAAATCCAGTTAATTTTTGAGCACTGTCAATATTATTTTCACATAATCACTTATATCTATATATCCTTTCCTCCACTCACATGGCCATTATCTCAGCTGGAGCCTTGGATCACTTCTTGCTGCACCACTGCAATAGCCTTATCGGTCTCCCTGCCTCCAGCCTCACTAGTCCTTCCTTCACATAGCTACTCAATTGATATTTGTAAGGTACAGGTCTAATCATGTCACCATTGTGGTCACGAAGCTTCTTCAATACTGTCACAGTCACTTTTCTATTTGTCACTTAAAGCCCTCTACATGCTGGTTCTCACCTGCCTTTCTAGGCTGATTATACAGTACTTAGCCTCATGTACTCTACACCACAACCCAAGTAACCTTGTTGACATTGCCAGTAAACTACATTCTATTTTTTTACATTTAGTCCTTTGCTCAAGGTGTATCTAATACCTGGAATTCTTTCCCTCCTCACCTTCACCTGATGGAACTACTAGCTCACTTAAAAACATAGACTGCAAAGAAGGGGTATGAGATGACACCCCTACTCCACTCCTTTGCAGTGGTGGGAGATCCACAGGTGTGCTATGTTATACATATTTTCAGACTTTTTAGATGTATTGATCAGCTTTGCTGATTCTTTTGCTTTTTTTTCAAAAATATTTATTATATGGGATGGCTCTCTGGCAAGGATGGGGAAGGAAACGTTTTAGTCTTGTTAAAAATGTCAACAAAATTTTTCTTAAAGAGATAGTTCAAATGCTTCTTTCTACAAAAGGTATTTACGTTTACTTATTTACATGTTTTTTTCTGCCTCCCTTGTCCCCAGTAGAATATAAGATCCTTGAGGTAAAGGATTGTTTCATTTTTGTATTTATATTACCAGCACTTAGCACAGTACCCGGAACATAGTAGGCACTTAATGCTTGTTGAACTGAAGAGGGCTAGATGATCTCCAAAAGGGACAGTCAGTCTGACAACCGAAGCTAAGAGCTGCTTTGCATCCTATAACCATTCTGTTTCCCTGTCCCACAATGCTGCAGTTTTGCCTCTTTTCTCCTTTCTTGTCCAGGAAAGCCACAGGTTAAGAAGTGCTCACCTGAAAGCCACAGTGTAGGAGGAGTCACTGATGGCCGTGAGGCAGGCCACTGCGCCCTGGGGCCCAAAGCGGGTTTTCACAAAGGGCCTTGGGTGAAACATGCTCAACAGTCTGTGGATGATGACCTGTGGGAGGTAAAAGCCTAGATCACTTGGCCCCCTCCTCCTGGGTTTGACAAGAGGATGTGACAATGATACATTTGTACCAGGTAGTGATGAATTTGTTCCCCCTTCCCACTTTCCAGCATATTGAGGAGAAACTATATTGAAAGACTTTGCTATTTCTTTCTTCCTTTGATCCTTGAGCTGGGGAAATCATCTGAAGCCTAGAAGACACCAAATCCCTGAGAACTGTTGAAGAACCGAGCTCAGGGGAAGCCACTAGTAGTGTGGAAGTGGGGAGATTATTATTCTGATGCTGTCACCCCAAGTTAATTCCTGGAGCTTGACCCTGGGACAGTCAGAGATAGTAAAAGGGTAATGTTAGGCCTGAGTAATAGGATGAACATCTAAGTTAAGAAGGACTCAGATCTGGTCTATTCATTTCAAGGCTGGGGAGAAGTTAGTACTGAATCATTAGATCAAATCTGAGGCAAAAAGGTGAGATGGTGACCCTGACGTATTTGATGGTCTAGGGAAAGAAGTTCAAAATGGGTTGGGAGATGTGATTTGTAGCTAGAAAATTAGATTTTTAGAAGGTGGGCTGAATAGAATTGGATTGTTTCAAGCCTTACTCCTTAACCTTCTCCTCCAAGTCTGACACAATCCAATCTAATTCAGCCTACCTTCTCCAAATTTGATTTCCCAGCTACAGGGAAAGTGAAACACTGGGTATAGGACTTGGTCCCAGGCAGGACCTAAGGTTCCTTCCTTACCTCCTTGCCTTTGGGAGGTGGTGGATAGAAGCGGTTGTCAGAGAGGTGTGCACCTGTCTCATTAATCATTATGTCTGGAATGATCCACCAGGGCTCACCCAGCTCCATATCATTCCTTGGGGGCAGGAAAGCTTTGAATTGGCTGACAGAGAACACACTGGATGATAATGCAGGGGCTGTCCAGTTTTTTAGCCCAGACAGGATGATGTCGGAAATCTGGAGGAAAAGGGCAGCAGGTAGAAGATGGTGAATCAGGATCCAGTTGAGGTTACACCTTTGAGGAAATTATACTGAAAAGAGGTACAAGAACATATATTCTCCAGAGCATAGATCCACATCAAAGGAAATGAAGGACTGGAGGAAACTTCACTTCTTCTGCTTTAGCTAGTTTCAGACGCCTGCTATCCTCTGCATTGATGCCATCTGGTCAAATGGGGGTACCAGCCCATATCACTTCATGTCTGGACTGCTGCCAACAGCCTGCTAGTTGGTCTCCCTGCTTCAACTCTCTCTCTACTCTAGTACATCCTCATTCAGCATCAAATTCACGTTCCTAAAGAACAGATCTGATCATGTCACTGCGCCCCCTCATTCTGCCCATTTAAACCTCAGCATCTCCCTCTCACCTCCAGGATCAAATGTAAAAGTTTTCTTTGGCTTTTAAAGCTCTTCATAAGTTGTCTCCTTCCTACCTTTCTTGCACCTTACTCTCCTACACATAATCTAAGATCCAGTGATGCTGACTCCCTTCCTATTCCTGGAACACATATCTTCCTACTCTGGGTTGTCCGCCATGTCTAGAACTCCCTCCCTCCTCCTCTCCACCTCCTGGCTTCCTTCAAGACTCAGCTAAAGTTCCTCCTTCTGCATGGCCTCTACAGGCCTCCTTAATCTTTGCGCCCTCCCTCTGAGATTATCTTCAATTTATCCTGTCCCTTTTGTTTGTACCTAATTGTTTATATGTTCTCTTCCCAAATGGATTGGAAGCGCCTTGAGAACAAGGTCTGGTTTCTTTTTTTGGGGGGTGGGGAAGCTTTTCTCTGTATCTGCTGCACTTAGCATAGGGCCAGGCACAAAGCAGGTGCTTAATAAATGCTTATTGACTTGACTTATGTGCTTTGTCAACCTTAAAGTGCTATATACTTTGCAACTATTATTAATATCTGTAAGGAGACCATCAGTTTTATTATTCAAAAAGGGCAGCAATGTTGAACAAAGGATTTGGGCTGGCTAGATCTGGCCCCTTTCAGTCTTGCCCTAAATTGACGTCTACGGTAACCAGGAATTTTATGGGGGCAGAATGGGACCTCTTAGTATTACCTCAGCTCCATACAGGCCCTCTGCAGTTTGGCCAAGAAGAGTTTCTCGGATGATTTGAAGGTACACAAAGTACCAGTCAGGGATATGACAAGAGAGAAAAGCATTTTCTAATCCTAAATCACAGGGGACCCTGGGATAAGGGAGTACCAGTCCAACAAGTGGAAATCAGTCCCAAGGTCAGCCTTAATCTTAGTTTGCTGGCTCTTGCTTGCTACAATAGCTTCTGGACACCCTTGGCCTAAAAGAACTGAGCCCTCCCCCTGGATTCAAACTTGGGTCTGCTGACTCCAAACCCAGTGCTCTTTCCATTATCCCATAAAGATGAAAAAAGAAATGCAAACCCACACAATTTACTATAATAAAATGTTGAAAGAGAAATTAGGTAAGATATAAACAAAATGCTAGAGAAGGGAGGCCAGAGGGGTTACTGAAATCTTGAGGACATGTCATTTTTTGGATTTCAGAAAGAATAGATAAGATTTCAATATATGGAAATTCAGCAAGGATATTCTATGTAAAGAGAAGAGCATTAGCAAAGGTATACTGAAGAATATATACTTTGTGTTTAGGGGTCATGGAAATAGCGTGACGTGGTAGAAAGACTTGGACTTTGAGTCTTGATTGACTATATTTACTAATTGTGGATCCATGGGAAAGTCACAATTTCTCTTTGTCTAAGATTTCTTTGTATAGCCTATACCACAGAGGTTCATTAGGGAGCTAAGTGGCATAACAGAGAGAGTGCTTGTCTTGGACATAAGAAGATCTGAGTTCAAATTATGCCTCAGATACTACTATCTGTGTGACACTAGGCAGCAAGTCATTTAACCTAAGCCTCTGTTTCCTCATCTGCAAAATGGGGCTAAAAGTAGCACCTAAAAGATCAAATAACAAAGAGGCTTTGCAAATTTTAAAGTGCTATATAAAAGCTAAGTTATACTAACATATAAGGTGCCAATTATTATTATTATTATTGGTCTAGTTTACTGGAATGAAGGCTGCACAAAGCAGAATTATTGGTGATAGGGCTACAAAGGTAGTTTGGGTCCAGATCATAGAGGATTTTGTCACTTGACACTTAGTTCATTACTATCTTGTATTACCAATTATCTTTACCAGTGGGTACCCTGTCTGCAACTTGGTATTCCCCACAGTGGAACAGGGAAGCATAAGGTTATACATCCCTCCCAGGAGAAGAGGAGCTCATTAACATGTATGAGGGCTCGGGAGAGGTTTGTTGTTTCAGGGAGGAGGAGGCAGGGCACCAAACCCTCATCAGTCCATCTCACTGTCCCTGTTCTGGTCACATGCTAGGTACTAAACACACACCAGCCTCCCTATCACTCTGCTTTTTTAAGGAACTGTACTGAATCTTGGGGTAGGACACATCATAGGTCTGCCTACCTCTTCTGTCATAGGGCCTGGAGCAGAAGATGAAATGGCTGCAGTTTATAGTCAACCTCTCAACCCAGACCTAAAACAGCAAAGCCCCTCCCTTTTCATCCCTCATACTTCCAAGGACAAAGGGATCCCCTTTTGCTGACTTTGTTCTGCCTTTTCCACTTTGGATTTTGGAGCAAAATTTTTTTTCTTTTTTTTATGGTAGATTTGATTTTTTGGAAAGACACTCCAAATCACTGAAAGCCAAGTCTTGTGATCAAGCTAAGTATTGCAATTTTGATCAAAAAACTTGGTATGATTATGAAGTAACAAAATGGATTTTCTTTTGTGATTTTAAACTGGCTTTAAAGGTTCTTCCTAAAGAAGAGTACAGAAATGTTTTGAGTAATTGAAACATTGCTAGAGCATGTGACAATGTACCATCCCATCTTGGCTCAACTATTTACACAGATTCTTGGCTGATCTGTGTCCCTTGGTTTTGGGGCCTCCAGACACTTCTATCTCTTCCCCACTGATTAAAGCATGGCTGAGGACAGGAGCCTGGTCTATTTTTGGTTTTTTGCTTGCAAGTTAATTATCCTCAATTTAGGAGCAGAAGTCTGAACACAAGGGGTACTACTTGCTCATACTCTCCTGGCCAAGAAGCACAGGGACTTCCCTGTTCTATGTGAGTTTAGGTCTGCTCTAGCTCAGGACAATCTGTGTCCCACAGTGCCCAGTCTGGCCCTTCATCCAGCACCTCTTGGGCCTAAAGTCTTACCTTTCACCTCTGCTAATTTTTTCTAGCTAATACCCCTGCCTCCACCTTCCAAGTCTCCCCCTTCCACCCTGCCACCCCCACTCACCTCTTTGAAACCATTTTTACTGTTTGACATGGTGTTGAGTAGCAGGGGCTGGAATCGAGCTACTACAGTCAGCTTCTCCTCTTTGAGAGAGGAACTCTCCTCCTTCAACAACTCCTCAGCCTTCTCAAAGTCAGTGACTGACATCACTACTATAGGACATAAATGTGTTAATAATCTGTTCTGCTCCTGGGGTGGGTGGGGCCTGTATGGACTTGTGCAAATCACTGCCCCTCACTTTCTCAGGAAACCATCTGTTGTCTGGTACCAGATGAAAAGAATTTCTAATTCCTTATCTTTCACTCTAGGGAGGAATCATGATTGATTGAGATTTATCTGGAAGAGAGGGAGAAGGAGAGGGAGGGGAGGGAGGGACGGAAAGAGGGAGAGGGAAAGAGAGAGAGAGAGAGTGTGTCTTGGAAAGAACACTAGATTGGGGATTAGTAAACCTGGGTCTAGTCCTGGCCCTTACTTTCCTTCCACCTTAGCTCTGCTACTACCTCTCAGCATCTCAGCAATGGGCTTGAACTCCTCAGGGCTGATGTACATGTCTCTATTCGCATCCAAAGCGGAGAAGAAGAACGTGGTCTTCCTAGGTGATCGCGCTGCCTCCTGTTTTGGAGCAAGGGCTCAGGTGAGAGGGGCTCAGGTGAGAGGGGCTCAGGCCTCCCCCGCTCCTGTCCTGCAGTTCCCAAGGACCTCGGACTGATATCCCGACTGGGTCACGGGCACTCCACCAGCACGGCCTGGGAGGACTTGTGTCTGACCGCTGGACAGTCAGCGACCTACGCCCTCTCGTGAGCCCTCTTGGGGGACGTGGACAGCAGCAGGTCCTCTTAGAAAAAGCCCTTCCTAGCTCCCCCATCCCACCCCGGGCGGGGGGATAGGGTGGGGCTCTGCGGGGCGGGGCTGGGCTGGGGGGCTCTGCGGGGCGGGGCTGGGCGGGGGGGCTCTGCGGGGCGGGGCTGGGGGCGCAGTCCCTTCCCCACCCCTCCCCCAGGACGAGCCTGACCCACAGCGCCTCGGCCTGGGCCTTCCTGGAGCCCACATAGCCCCGGGCGGCAGCGGCCAGCAGCGCCCCCAGCACGGCCACCAGCAGCGCCAGGTCTCGGAGGCTGCGGGGAGGGCGGGGCGGGCGGCCCGGGGGCTGCGGGGGTAGGCGGGGCTCGCTAGGTCCCGGCCTCCCGGGAAGGTCCATGATAGGAGGCTGCGACTCCGGCTCCTCCTCAGCCGCTGCCTGCTCCAACCGCCCACTAACGGCCGGGGGCGGGGCTGAAGGCCTAAGGTACGATCGGGGCGGGGCCTCAGACTGACTGACAGCGTAAGGAGGCGGGGCCGGAATGAAGTGATTGACAACTGGTGGAGGGACTGGCCGGGGACGCTGCCAGCTGGGGGCGGGGAAGGACACTGAATGGAAATTGTGGGGGAAGGATGGAGAAGGACGGGAGTCGACGGACAGCTTGGGGAGAGGAAGAACCAGAACGTTATTATGGGATGTAGAGGGGCGGGGCAGACCACTGAGGGACAGCTGTGGAAGGGTGTGGCCACAAACTGACAGACGTGCTTGGGGCGGGGCTGGAGGCTGACTGACAGTTTGGGAAGGAGCGTGGTCCACACTAGAGACTGACAGTTTAAAAAGAGAGGAGCATCATTTTCTGCTTTGGTTCAATAAGAAAAGGTCCAGAGATGCTGGCGTGAGCCACTGTCTCCAGGAGTTGTGGTTGTCGCCGAGTCCCAGATGAGGAGTAAGGAGGCAGTGGGAACGTGGGCCTCCAGACATTTCTCTCCACCTCTTCCCTACTGACCAACGCATGGAGCCTCCTGTGCTGAGGGCCGGAGCCTGGTCTCTTTCTGGTCTCTTGCTTGCAAGTTATTTGTCTGCAGCTTAGGGTAGCAGAGGTCTGAACACAAGGGGCATAAATTGTTCCTATATTGGGGGTCATGCATTTGGGAGTCAGTCAATGTGTATTTATTAAGCACCTACTGTGTTCCAGGCACTGTGCTCAACCCCCTTCCCCCCTCCCCCACTTCCCATTACTGATGACTCATTTAGGGGGAAATCACAATTAACAAAAGAAACTCGTAGCATTGTATTCAGGTCTGGTTACCACATTTTAAAAGTCATATTTATTAAAAGCTTTTGTTGTTACATCACCTTTATTTTTTGAACATAACCTTCTCCAGCTCCCCTCCTGGGTGGGGAGATATCTCTTCTTATAAAGACTAACAAAAGCAGTTCAGTAAAACAATGTCACAAGCCGTCTGTGACAGGATAGGCAAGATTCCACACCCACAGTCCTCCATTTGTGCAGAGAAAGTGGGGAAGGAGGGCACCACACGTTAGGAGCGATGCTGCTGATATGGAATGGATCCAGGGAAGGGAGATTAGATTCATAGGGAAGAAGGGAAGGGATTCAAAATCATGTCATTAAAGGAGTGGTTAAAGGGAGCAGGAATGTTTACCTTGGAAAATGGAAGACTTAAGAGAATACATAAGAACTGTCTTCAAATATGTGGATGGCCACCATGTAGGAGAAGGATTAGCTTAGCTGTAGTGGCTGCAGATGTCAGAACCAAAGAGTGGAAATTAGAGGCAGATATAGGGGTAATGTAAAGAAGAACTTGCTAATGATTAGCTGTTTAAAAATGGAATGTTAGTCAGTCAGTCAACAAACATTTATTAAGTGCTTACTATGTGCCAGAATGAGTCAAGTGCTGGGGGTATAAAGAAAGTCAGTTAGTCAGTCAATAAGCTCAGGAAGAAGACTTCATGACTCTAGTCCCAACACTTCATCCTCTGCATCACCTAGCTGCTCCTCTTCCTGAGTTCAAATCCAGCCTCAGACTCTTCCTAGCTGTGTGACCTTGAGCTTAACCTTGTTTGCCTCAGTTTCCTCATTGTAAAATGAGCTGGAGAAGGAAATAGCAAATCACTCCAATATTTTTGCCAAGAAAACCCCAAAAGGGGTCATGAGACTAAACAAACTGCTAAGCACTGGATAGACCCTGCCCTCAAGGAGCTTACAATGTAATGAGAGAAAATGACACACAAATGGAAGCTGAAAGGTGAGGGAGAAGAAAGAAAGGTGCCCAGTGGTGGGGGCGTGATGGAGAAACCCAAAGGAGTGCAGCTGGTGGGAAATGAAAAGGAAACATATGGCTGCAGGTAAGGAGGGATGTGTGTGTGGTGGGAACACACAGCTATTTCTCTGCTCCCTGGAAGCCTGAGGATGCCAGGGTTCTGAAATGCTGATCAGATGGCTATACCAAGTCAAGGACCAAGTGCATGGAGTGGCGTGAAGTATAAGATGACTGGGAAGGGAGTAGGAATCCAGGTTGAGAAGGGCTTTAAAAGCCTAATAGAGGATTTTATATTTCATCTGGAATTAAAAGGCAGTTTTGTTTCCTCTTTCTGATGGTTCCTCCTATTGGTTTTAATTTTTACTTAACATCACTAATGTGAAAATATGTTTAATATGAATGTAGATGTATAGCCTCTATCAGATTGTGCGCCGTCTTGGGGAGGGTAGTAGGGAGGAAGGGGGAGAAAAATTTTAAACTCAAAAGCATATGGAGGTGATTATTGATGAATCAAAATAAATTAATTAAAAAAATAAAAAAAATACTAGAGAGCATAGCAATAAATGGAGTTTTCCTTAAAATGATAAGTAGTAGATATCTAAAACCATCAGCAAGCATTATCTGTAATGGGGATAAACTAGAAGCTTTCCCAATAAGATCAGGGGTGAAACAAGGATATCCGTTATCACCACTATTATTCAATGTAATAAGACAGAACAACATCAACAACAAATGCCCTTGATGATGTGGCTGCCACAGTATTACATCTGTAGAATAATTTGTGTAATACTATAATTTTTAATACTTTGGCATAGCCTAGCCATAACAATGAATATGTAAAATTATTTAGATCTTCCCTTGTTTTATCAATATTTATTAGGCTGTTAATCTTTTTGTTTGTTTGTTTCTATTGGATTTCTCAAGCTCTGGCAGTGAATATTAAGGTTACCCACTGACATCTATCTACAATCCTACACGGGCCCCTGGAAAATCACTTTTAGGACTCACTAACCCCAAATGGTCTGGGAGATGTCATTTAGTTAGTCAACTAGTCAGTCGACAGTCACAAACATTTATTAAATGTTTACTATGTTCAAGTCACTGGGCTAAATGCTGGGGATACAAAGAAAGGCCAAAACAGTCCCTACCCTCAAGGAGCTCATGTTCTTTTGGGGAAGATAAGGTGCAAAAATTATGTACGTACAAGATACATACAGAATATATGGAAAGCAAACTCAGAGGGAAGGCACTAACTTGGAGGGAAACTGGGAAACGCTTCTTGGCAGAAGGTGGGATTTGAGATGGGTTTTAAAGGAAGCCAGGGAAGCCATGAGACTGAGGCAAGAAGGGAGAGAATTCCAGGACAAATGGAAAGCTAGCCAAAATGCGCTGTCCAGAGATGGAAGGTCATGTGGGAGAAATAACAAGAAAGTTAGTATTCCTGGATCTTAGGGTTCAAAATATTTTTGTAACCAGAGGCTCAAGCTCATTTGCATAGGACTCTCCTCATTGGTGGAGAATTAGAGGCAGAATTGGCAAGAGCTTGTGAGAGGAGACATTCTCATTCTTCTGGCTTCTGGTGCAGAGCTTAATCACCTCATACCTGAATTATTGCAGTAACCCCTGTATCCCAAATCTCTCCCCACTCTAATCCATACTCCACTCTATAATGCTAAAGTGATTTTCCTAAAGCACAGTTTTGACCACATCACTCCAGACTCTAATGACTCCCTTTTAATTCCAGATGAAATATAAAATCCTCTGTTAGGCTTTTAAAGCCCTTCTCAACCTGGACCTCTACTCCCTTTCCAGTCATCTTATACTAAACTATCCCTTGCTCTCCCAGTTTGCTTATAGTATCAGCCTTTATATCTATTTCATGAACCCATTTTGACTTTATTTTGGTATATGGTGTGAGATTTTGGTCTGTGCCTAGTTTCTGCCATACTCTTTTCCAGTTTTCCCAGCAGTTTTTTTCAAAGAGTGGGTTCTTATCCCAGAAGCTGGGGTCTTTGTGTTTATCGAATAATAGATTGCTATAATCATTGACTACTGTGTCTTGCATATTTAACCTATTTCACTGATCCACCACTCTATTTCTTAGCCAGTACCAAGCAGTTTTGATGATTGCTGCTTCATAATACAATTTAAGATCTGGAATGGCTAGGCAACCTTCCCCTGCATTTCTTTTCATTAGTTCCCTTGATATTCTGGACCTTTTGTTCTTCCAAATGAATCTTGTTATTATTTTTTCTAGTTCTATAAAATAATTTTTTTGGTAGTTTGATTGGTATGGCACTGAATAAGTAAATTAGCTTAGGTAGAATTGTCATTTTTATTATATTAGCTCGGCCTATCCATGAGCAACTGATGTTTTTCCATTTATTTAGATTTGACTTTATTTGCGTGAAAAATGTTTTGTAATTGTGTTCATAGAGTTCCTGGGTTTGTTTCGGGAGGTAGACTCCTAAATATTTTATAATCTCTGCAGTAAGTTTAAATGGAATTTCTCTTTCTATCTCTTGCTGTTGGGCTTAGTTGGTAATATATAGAAATGCTGATGATTTATGTGGGTTCATTTTATATCCTGCAACTTTGCTAAAGTTGTTTATTATTTCAAGTAGTTTTTTACTTAATTCTCTAAGTATAACATCATGTCATCTGCAAAGAGTGATAGCTTTGTTTCTTCTTTGCCTATTCTAATACCTTCAATTTCTTTTTCTTCTCTTATTGCT